AAAAAAAAAAAAAAATCAGCAAAAATGATAAAAATTCTCATTTATTTCTATTTATTTATTTTAGAGATGGGGTCTCACCACGTTACCCAGGCTTGTCTTGAACTCCTGGACTCAAGCCATCCTCCCACCTCAGCCTCCCAAAGTGCTGAATTGCAGATGCGAGCCACCGTGCCCAGCCCAAAATCCTCACTGTTCGTGCAGACATAGGGAACCGTTCTCCTAAAGCTGGCAGTAAGGGGTCGTGGTTGTTCTGGGGACATTGAAGACTTCACCACTCTCCTCTGTTAAAGAGTGAGGTCAAGGCTTCAGATGAGTAGATTTCAGAACAGTTCTCAATGGAAAGGGTCACTAAATAGTAAAATCGGAGGGCCTGGGGGACATGGAAGGTGTTTAGGTAAAATGCTTTCAACATGAAATTAACCAAAGTTAGAGTGGGATCCATTCAATGCCACTCAAAGCTAGGAGCTGGCAAAGCGTCGGGAAATGGTTTGCCCAGACCGCTGGATGGTTCTGCCTAGAGGGGTGAGGGGCGATGTGTGGGCACTGTTACCTCAATCAAGGATCTGCCCACCTGCAGGATGAGGATGAGGTCTGAGTAAACATCAGACACCCAGCCCTACCCCAAACCTGCTGACTCATCCGCCTTGCCACGTGGCTCAGACATCTGCGTGTTGGAAGGAACGCCCCTAAAGTCTGAGAACCACTGTCCTCAGGTTTCCCTGTCTGTCAAGTGGAATTACTCATCCCTGCCCTGCGTCTACCCCCGCCCCCGTCCCTGGGCCATCGCGGCGCGCCCAGATGCTCCCAAATGGGAATGAGCTTTGCAAAGCACTGAGTCCAGAGCGAGTGTTGTGCTTTGAGCCGCGCTCGGTCCCAGCCTGGCATCGAGAAGAAACAAAGCCGTTCCCTCAGGTTCTCTCACAGTCCTCCCTCATTGTCCCTCCCCTCTCCCCGCAGCAGGTGGGGGCGTTTTCCCCGCGGCGGCACTGCAGTGGGGTGTGCGCGCCAGCAATCCTAGGCGCCGGGCATCCTCGGATCTGGAGCCTGGGATGAGGGTGGGGAATCTAGGACGCGCCCCCCGGGCCTCCCCTGCGCAGTCCCAGAAACAATTTCTCTATGCCAGGACCCTCCGCTGGAAGAGGAGAAAGGTCTGGCCCCTCTCCTCCCAAATTCCCAGCCTCTCCAGGGAGTGTCCTGGAGCCAAGGAGAGGTGAAGAATCCGGCTGGTGGGTTCCGGGACCTCCGCAGATCCTTTAAGAGATGCAAATGGGCTTTAGAGTCCTACATAGCTGATTCACAGTCACTGGTTGTGTGACCTTGGACGTGTCGATAACCCTCTCTGAATCTCCATTTCTCGGTCTTTAAAATGGGCTTGTTCCTTACCACCTAGTGGAATTGTTGTGATAACGTTTGCAAAGCACCAAGCAGGTCCCTGGCGTAGAGTAACCTCTCCATAAACTGATGTCACTGTTGTTTTCAGCGACGGTAATTTACCGGCCCTCTCCATCCTTTGGGAGCCAAATTGGACGCCGGACATGTGGGATTTGAGTCCCAGAAGTGAAGGAATGGCAGGCTCTGGGGAAATGGGGCGTGCTGGGTATGAGGGAAGGGGAGCTCAAGGACCCTGCCCCGCTACCCCACCCCCACCTCCAGTTTGAGACCCTCTGGGCTCTCCTGACTTGGCCAGTTAACTGCTCACCTGGTGAACCGAGAAGGTTCGCGGGCCCACCTCCCAAATTCGGTCTCCTGTCGTCGGAAGGGAAGGGTCTTTGTTCCCCTCACATTCATGACTGCAAGACCCCCATTCGCACTGGACTCCCAAAGCAACCTCCCCTTGCCCGGCCTCACCGCCCGCCCGCATCCCGGCCAGAGTCCTGGCTGTGCTTGACAATCACAGGCTGCAAAGGCTCTTCATCCATCAAATGCCGGGCACTTCAGGCAGCGTCTTCCACCCCTGAACCCAGTCCCGGGACTCTGGGACCTACCCTCGACCCCAGCCTCGGGGAATTCGGCTGTTCCCCGTTCGGGGACGAGGCGCTTGGGAAGGAAGGAAGGAAGGCTGCTAGCACAGGGCGACGTCTTACCTCGGGTCTGCGGTCCTGCGGCGCGAGTGCAGAGGGCTCTTTGTGCCCCGGCTCACAGCGCAGAACTGGGGGAGCCCCTGCAAGCACCTCCCACCTCAAACTCCTCCCCGCACTCGTCCGCAGCCTCCCTCCCTCCGGTCCCCCGAGCGCAGCCGGCGTCGTCTTTGTAGCTGCTGCAGCGCCCATGAAATTTTAATGCAGGAGCGGCTGGCGGGCGGAGGCGCCCCACCCGCGGCCCTTGCCTCCACCCTCCTCCCGCCTCCTTGCGCCCCTACAGCCCCACACCTAACCCTCCCCTTTCCCCTGCCCAGAGTCCTGGCCGGGAACGCGGGGTGCAGCCGGGCTGGGGGGAGCACACCGCCGCCCCTTCCGCACAAAGGGGCGATCGGGCCGGCGCGCTCTGCCTCCGGCATCCCCACCCACGGCGCTGTCATGGCAACGCTTGCCCGGCCACTTTCGGCCGCAGAGAGCTCAGGGCTGGAGAGAGGCGCGGGGGTGGCGCGCCACCGCCGGCCAGGGGCGCAGAAGTCTGAACCCCAGGGTAGGCGTACAGAAGATGCTGGTCCTGGAATAACGCCAAGGGCTACACCGGCGAGACCTCGGGTGTATGCCTCTTTATGCACATGGTTATGGCGGAGTCCAGAATTGAACCCATGCTTGTAACTTCATGCGTGGACACCATTTGTCCTAAGAACGTTTATAGGTTGTCTTTAATTTTTAATTATTATTTATTCTTATTATTTTAGAGGTGGGATCTCACTCCATCGCCCCAGCTGAAGTGCAGTGACACAATCACAGCTCACCGCGTCCTCCAACTCCTGGGCTCAAGCAATCCTCCTGCTTCTCCCTCAGTCTTAGGAGTAGCTGGGACTATAGGGACGAACCACCGCGCCCGACTTAGTCTTTTATTTAACTGCCGTTTTCTTCGTTCCTACTATTTTCCAGAGCAGGGAAGCTAGGAAGTGGTCCTGAAGTCGTGGTTCTAGAGCTGCAGTATCCACATTGCTTGGGAACTTCTTGGAAATCCAATTCAGGGCCGGGGGCAGTGGCTCACCTCTGTAATCCCAGCACTTTGGGAAGCCGAGGCCGGAGGATCACCTGAGGTCAGCAGTTCCAGACTAGCCTGGCCAATATGGTGAAATCCCGTCCCTACTAAAAAAATTAGCTGGGCGTGGTGGCGGATGCCTGTAATCCCAGCTACTCATGAGGCTGAGACACTAGAATCTCTTGAACCCGGGAGGCAGAGGTTGCAATGAGTCAGGATCCCACCACTGCACTCTGGCCTGGGTGAAAAGAGCAAGACTCCCTCTCAAAAAAAAGAAAAAGAAATCCAGTTCAGGCTGGGCGTGGTGGCTCACTCCTGCCTGTAACTCCAGCACTTTGGGGGGCCGAGGGGACAGGTGTGCTTGAGTCCAGAAGTTCAAGACCAACCTGGGTAAGAAAGCAAGACCTTGTCTCCACAAAATGTACCGAAAAATTGGCCTGGCATGTTGTGCCTATAGTCCAGCCGCAGCGACCCCTGAGGGAAGAAAGGAAGGCCCAGATATCTGTGTCATCAAGGCCCCCAGGGGATTCTGATGCACGCTCAAGCTGGAGAACCCCTGCGCTAGAACATTCCAGTGACCTTCAGAACCAGATTGTCCTGGGTTTAAAATTCAGTTCTGCCCATGCCCCTGACCAGATGTGACCTTAGGCAATCTCCACCTCCTTCCTGAGACTCAGTTACTTGCCCATAAAGTAGAGAAAATAATGGAATCCACATCCGCTGGCTAAATGAAGGAAGTGTGCCTAGCACAGTTTCTGGCACCTAGTATGGGCTGACGACATATTTTTATTATTAGACTACAGCATCTCTGTGGTCACATTTCTGTGAATACTGTTTACCATCTTCATTGCGTGGGTGACGAGGCTCAGAGAGGGAGCGAGAGCTACCTACAGACACGGTGATAAGGGGCCCAGGTAGATGTAAGCCTGTCCTTTTAGATTCTGACTCCCCCAGCTTTCCCTAGACTACACATCTGTTGCTGGATCCAGCCCTGGTCTTCAGAAAATACAAATCCAATTCAACAAACTGTGAAACATTTCCAGTGTGCCCAGCCCAAGACCACTGCAGGGAGCTTGAGAGTCCCCAGGAGGCTTAAGACACAGCCTCTGCCCAGGCAGAGTTAATAGTCCTGCCAGGGTGATGAGACCCATTAGAAAGAGTCAGAGAAAAGGCAAGGCAGCGTGTGGTCACAGCCTTGTCCAGAGTACACAGCCCACTCTCAGGGTGTACCCAATGTAATCACAGAAGTCCTTTTTTTTTTTTTTTTTTTTTTGAGACAGAGTCTTGCTCTGTCACCCAGGCTGGAGTGCAGTGACACAATCTCTGCAACCTCTGCCTCCTGGGTTCAAGCAATTCTCCTGTCTCAGCCTCCCGAGTAGCTGGGCTCACAGGTGCCCACCACTACACCTGGCTAATTTTTGGGGATTTTTAGCAGAGATGCGGTTTCACCATTGGCCAGGCTGGCCTTGAACTGCTGACCTCAGGTGATCCGCCCGCCTCAGCCTCCTAAAGTGCTGGGGTTACAGGCGTGAGCCACCACACCCAGCCAACAGAAGTCCTTTTTACAAATATTTTGAGACAAGGTCTTTCCCTGTTGCCCAGGCTGGAATGCAGTGACAAGGATCATAGCTCACTGAAGCCTTGAACTCCTGGGCTCAAGTGACCCTCTTGCCTGAGTTGTTGTCAACGCTCAGGTCTTCACCTGTCTAGTCTCCCCAGACACAAAGAAAAAGGAAATAGAATTTGGCATGACGCATTCTAAATGAATACGCGGATACATACAGGTTACCACGCCCTTTCTTAAGTATTCCCAAGCCCTCTGCTTTATCTTCCATTCCCAAATTCTCCCAAGTGTCAATCATTTCCAATATCCACTTGGGGAAAAAAATCAAGCCTCCTGTTCACCCCAAACTTTCACACTTCATCCTATTCCCTGGAGCTTCTAAAGCAACAGAATCTATGATCTTATCACCAAGTATCTTTGGTTCTAGAGATATTACCATCGAACCTAGGTTTAGGTGCTCACTACTTGAAAGCCAGACACCAGAGACAAGGGTTGGCGGAAGGAAAAGCAGGTTTACTTGGAGAGCTAGCAAAACAAAGAAGATAATGGACAATTTATTGTTCTAGAGTATCCTATTAAGTCAATACAAATTTTATGCTGTTTTCATGTCAAAGTTAAGTGGAAGAGGCTGAGTGCTGTGGCTCATGCCTGTAATCCCAGCACTTTGGGAGGCCAAGGCGGGTGGATCACTGGAGGTCAAGAGTTCAAGACCAGCCTGGACAGTATGATGAAACCCTGTCTCTACTAAAAATACAAAAATTAGCTGGGTATGGTGGTGGGCGCCTGTAATCCCAGCTACTCAGGAGGGTGAGGCAGGAAAATCACTTGAACTTGAGAGGTGGAGGTTGCAGTGAGCTGAGATGGCACCACTGCACTCCAGTTTGGGTGACAAAGCAAAACTCCATCTCAGGAAAAAAAAAAAAATTCAAGTAGAAGAGAAGGGGATTGAACTGAGATCAACAGCTGACCAATTACCACTGACACCTGGGCACCAGTGAGGGTCCAAGAAGGTTGGGAACTTCTTCGTCCTTGGCGAGGTCACAGTGCTTTATAAATCTTTAACAAAACATAGTTAAAGGTTTACATACTTTACATGTTTACATGTTTCTCCTTTCATCCCAGAGTTAGTTTTTAAAAACTACATGACTGCTTTTTTCTGCACATTATCTCAGTGCTCTAAAATTATCCTAGCCTACGTGCAGGAATGGGTAAAGTCCCCTTAAACAGAAATTGAGTTCGTTATGTTAGTTCTTTTGCTGTTTCACTGTTACAAAATCTTTTCAAGGCAAGCAGTGGGCAGGTGGCAGAGGGGAGCGAAAGGGGTGGCCATTAGAGGACACTGTGGCTCACTGCAAATGGACTGTGTCTAACTCAGATGGACTCAGGACAAGCTATGAACTGCGTCATGCAAGGAGGGAGTAGACCCTCGTGCTCTGCACACGCCAATACCAGTGTGAGCATTCTCTGCTCCCAGTTCTCTAGCACCGTACATTTCTGCATCATGGAGCAGACCAAACTAGCTCTCCTGGGGGATTCAGCTGGTCCTTTGCCCTCCTTTTGCCCATCTGTGCCTTTATGGTGGGCAAAGTCTTCCCTAGCATCCTCCACTTCCCTAGGGAAGGTTGGACATCCTTTGGGGTTCATGCCTGATTTGAGAAGTAGAGCTGGCATCCTTCTCTCCTCCCCATCAATGTAACTGTGACCCTCACCTTATCCTGTGGGTAGACTCACAACGTACCCTGGGAGGAGCATGCCCCTACATGGTAAACGTCATCCTCACCACAACTGGCCAAGAGTTTCCACCTTCCAGGAAACACGTATAGGGCCCGCTTGGACCCCAGGAGCCCATGAGCAGATAACAGAACTCCAAAGAGACACGTCGGTGTCCCTGCTCTGCATGATATCGCGCTGAAACCCCAGATTTCCAGAATTCTGACACTGGCAACATATCAAGGAAAGGGGAGCCTGAACCTCTCTTCTCTCTAGTCCCAGAATAGCCCTTGGAGAAACAAGAGTGGCTTGGGAGGCCAGGGGTCCAGTTGCAATTCTGTTATCAGCCCACTGGGTGCCTATTTAAAAGGAGAGAGGGCCGGGTGTGGTGGTTCACACCTGTAATCCCAGCACTTTGGGAGGCCAAGGCAGGTGGATTACCTGAGGTCAGGGGTTTGAGACCAGCCTGAGCAGCATGATGAAACCTTGTCTCTACTAAAAATACAAAAAAAATTACCTGGGCGTGGTAGCAGACGCCTATAATCCCAGCTACTTGGGAGGCTGAGGCAGGAGAATTGCTTGAACCCGGGAGGCGGAGGTTGCAGTGAGTGGAGATCATGCCACTGCATGCCAGCCTGGGTGACAGAGCAAGACTCTGTCTCAAAAAAAAATAAAAAAGAGAGAGGCCAGGTGCGGTGGCTCACGCCTGTAATCTCAGCACTTTGGGAGGCCGAGGCGGGCGGATCACGAGGTTAGGAGATCAA